GGTCTGCACATAAATGCCCCAACCTTAACTCATCCTCACCATGTGCCCCCAAAGCAGACAAAGCAGATTGAGGTCAACTTATTTTCTCCACACTTCTTCCAAATCCCCACACATGGTTTCCTAACCTTGGGTCTACCCCAATCCCTCACCCACCCTGTGTTCCTCACTCAAGCCCTTGGCTGATCTTCTTGGTCCAGGTGTCAGGGCTGGCTCAGGGCTCAGGTCCTGCAGGAGAGAACTGAGCAGGGCAAAAGCTGTGAGTGAAGGCAATCAGCTGGTGGGCAGTAATTGCCCCAGCAGGCAAGTGCCTCCAGGCAGGTGGAGTCAGGAATTGCCCTTAATTTGAAGCAGCTTGTAAACCAGCCTAGAAAAGAAGCTCTGACCAAGCTAGTCAAGCCACAGTCTCTCTTGGTGCAGTTAATTACACCTTTCAAAGCAGAACAGAGTCAGCCAAAGGGACCAACAGCCCCATTTGCACTCCAAAAAATATGTTAATTAGAGAACCAAAGCATACCCAGAGAAGGGAACTGTGAATCCACACCTTTTAGTGAAGAAAAAGGACTGGAGCCCACAGCCTGCTGGCATGAGCTAGCATTAAATCACCAGCGAGCAGAAGGCCTTGAGGGCTGCTTCTCCAAATACGCCAGAAGAACACCCGCCCTGCCAGGGGAGCAGAAGCGCACATGATTTCTGGCACCCTGGAGCATCAGACCAGCCTCTCACCTAGTCCCAGCACCGAGGTCCTGGGTGAGCCAGGAACTATTTGACACTGAAGGATTTACAAAACTGCACTGAGGGAAGCTTGCAACTCTGCCTGGCCTGCGGAGGCATTCTAGGAAGCTGAGTTTTGGGATCAGGCCCAGTTCTTCAAGGGTACTTAGATGCTAACCCAAACTGTTTACAATGGAGATAGTTGCCTATAGATTTTTCAGGATCTTGGCCTTTTGGGCCTTACACCAGCTAAAAGAGGCTAAGAGAAATGAGGTCTCTCAAGGCATTCAGGTCAGCTACATACCAGGTGGGACACCGAGTTCCATCCCTGGTCTTGCCCTGGAGCAGCGGTGGCTCAGGTTGCCTCTGCCTGTTCCGCACCGCGAGGGCAGCCCTTACCCCAGCCAAAGTTTCAGTCCATGAATGCTGACCGCAAGAGCACAGCAGCACTGTGGGGAATTCCTGAAGATAATCTTTGACCTTTGCTATCCAGAGAGAAAATGCCTCAAGTAGGAATGTGTTTACCATATTAATGCTAAAACAGTTCCATTATAATGACAAGCATGATGTTTCATCAAAATCCTTATGAGATTTATATCTGCTGTAGCTCTCCTTCAGATGGAAGTTGGATGTAAAACAAGCATATGTTTCTTGTTACAGTACTGCAAGAAATCCATTGTTTCTGGGTTGACCGATTCAAAATTTAAAGAAATCAGTCTGCCATAACAAACTTGATGTTCAGCAATCAAAAGTATTCTTATATTTCACTATGTATTTAATAAAAGAACTTCAAGTGAAGTGCAGGTTCACTTAAAAGTGATGAAAATTAATTCAAGCTAAAACTGTCATCAAACTTCAGGATTAGCAATATCAACTCAGACTCTCTCTTAATTTGACACTCATTATTTAGATGTGCCAAAGATGTTGTGAACTCAAACTACAAAAAGACCTCAGTAATTTATGGCATCTGTATATAATTTATGTCCAAAAAAACTACATTAATGAAGATGAATGTTCCAAAGTCAAGTTAGGAAATGCAATATGCGCTGTTGCCTTGTGCATTATGATATGACCTTAAATCGCAGGTTTGCATTTTTCCCAGTCAGAACCCCTCTCTCATTCAGGGATTCTTTTCAATCCTCTTCAGTGCACGGCTCAACCTTGCTTTCTGCACTCCGTATAGGTCACAAAATGTTATCAGTTTCTTTATAAGTACTTCTGCACTATCATCAGAGGAATAAGGATTGTGAGGTCTTTTTCAAACCTGTGAGAATCCCTGTGAGCTTTGCTCCTGGTACCACTACCTGTAGTATCTATTGTGTGTATGGCGGAATATTGACACTTTCACCTAATATTTTCAGAACAGATCTACTGAACCTAGACACAGATGCGATTACTCTGTACTTCTGTAGACATGGCCCCAAGCACCATACATTAAGCATTCAGCAAAATACTTAGTGAGTTTCTGTGAACCAAGTGTCTTGCTCAGTGTTACAGAAGAACTTCGTGACAGTAGCAGAAAGAAAACCCAGTTCTCCAAACCAGAATGCTCTTTCCTTCATCATCAGACTATCTTTTCACTTCCGGCAATTTGACCCCCTCCACTGTTATCAAGCTTTTCCTTAAAAGGAGGGAACTTTGCAGATAGCAAGCTCATGGCTGCAGAGTCCTGGATCATTCACAGAGGAGCATGCCGCCTGCACAAGGAATATGGCAGGATCCCACGGAGAGCTGCACAGGTGGGATGGAAGCATTAAAGATCTGAAAATCCCTAATTTTTGCAAGTCCGTTCCTTCCCATCCCAGGTATTTTTAAGGATAAACGCAAGGATTGAAAAATGTGAATCACACTGACTCTCCAACTTGTAACCAGCAGGATTCAGATCTTCCATACAAGAAAACTGTTTCTTCTAGCTACAGATTAATGCCAGTAGCTCACTGTGCACAGAGGGGAACACCAGAGGGTGAAATATGAAATGTCTGCTAAGTTACTCATCTATTAGCCAGTAGCACAAGCATCAAATCTCACATCATATATTCTAGGTAAGAGTTTACAGTCTCTAACACAAAACTGCTACAGCTCCTGGTTCCCAGGCAACAGATACCTCTCTCTTACACCCACCTCCTTCCTCCCCATTTCTCACTGGTTTTAGATTCTCCTAAACTTCTCAAAGAATACATATCCATCTCTGCCAAAAAACAACAAATATATTTTCCTTACTAATATCATTCTAAGATACAACTAAACAGTATTCATTGAACTTTTTCAAAATACTTCAATGGGAGACTACTGCATCTTATGGGAACTTAGTTAAAAATGATCAATCCAAATCAGAAGCATCTGAAAACAGCTCTAAATGAAAGCTGTCGAACAACCTCAGCCTCAGTGAACAGGCAAGATCTCAATATGGCTTCCTTTTCTCTCCTCCCTTGAACTGCTATAAAGATCACTTGGAAAGACCCTTTTATTAACTCCTACTACTCACTTCTGACTCTGAAAATGTTAAATTTGAGTGTAAACAGGTCAGTGATTTCAGCTGTGTGAAGCCAACTGGAGCATGGCTGCTTTGTACTCCACTGGAAGATCACCCTATTTTTAAGCACCTGATGCCAACAAAACCCTTTTCTCTAAAACAAGTAATTTCTGAGAGACTTTTGAACTATGTTAATCTTAATCCAAACCTATGGTCAAATAAGCAGATGCTGTCTTTCTACAAAATCCTAGCTTTTGTAGAAGTTTGACAACTATGCCTTTCCAAGGGCTACTTCCACTAGATAATTGTCTAATATTATTCTAAAGATAATGAAATAGTTCTAATTCCATTAGAAAAATTAAGTATTCTAATAATTCCATAAATGGGAGTGTGAAATTTCAGGCCATATTCTTCTCTTGGAAGAAAAATCAGAAAGTTCTCAAAAATACATCACATTATGTATGCTTCAATCATAAGATGCTACTACAGGAGATGAAAGAAACTTCACATTCTTAATATAATGTCCCCACAGACTTTTAAGGAATATCAGTGATGCAGATATTTTTGCAGCATTTTGTTTTACCGCATCACGCTGTGAAGTTTTGAAATAAGTATTTCTTAATAACTTTTTCTTATTAATTTCATTTTAATAATTAAATTCATATAATTTAATTATTATTATTTTATAATTAATTTCAATTTTATAATTTCTTATTAACTACATAACTACAGATGTAAGCAACTGACGCAAGCAGATACAGGCTAATAACAGAGCAATGAGTGAAGCTAAAAGGCAGTTTCTATTCTAACTTCTAATCCAGTACTGTATTTATCCGGTCATACCAATTCAAAACTACAGACATTGTTTGTTCCATATTTATGAAATTTTGGCTTTTTTCTAAACTGCTCTAGCTTTTTGGTCAATGGCTTCTTGCATTTGGCAGACAAGCATGCATAACAAAAAGAAAAAAAAACAATCTTGGGACTATCACACAAGATTGTGTACCTCAAACACACGGCTATATGATAGGCTTTGAATTTTGCATGTACCAAAATCTGTCTCAAATTAACATTACCGTTAAACTATGGAAGACTAAACTCAAGGTATTCAGCCAGCAAGGGCCGGTATTTCCTGGATACAACTGAATTCCTTCTGGTTTTAAGCAGAGCCTGAATTCCACGTGTATCTCTAATGTCATTAAGCCTGATAATTTAAAATACTTGATACCAATTACTGTAAACAGCATGCTTTATGCCATGAAAAAAATACATAGGAAGTTAATTACGCTGTTGAAAGCACACCAGCATACCACTTCTGCCCTTCAAAAGGACAAAAAGTCTCAAGAAGCTGAAGTGAGACAGTCATTATGGTTTATGTGAAAATAGCCTTTTAACGATCAACTATATATATATTATAAAAAGCTAGTGAAAGATTTCCTGATTTTGATATTAAGGAATCATCTATATTTTCCATTATTGTAATATGTACGTGCTTAGATGCACAGAATACTACATTCTGTTGTCTCGCAATACCATTGTAACATTGAGCACTGGTCCAGTACTGTCGTCTCCAGGGAGAAGCGATGAAGGAAATAAGCAACACCTTTTAAATTTAACAGAGCAACTAGCGCCAACAGCCTTGCGTGTTTTTTACCCAACTCTACAACTGCAGAAAACAGCTGTACTATGAAAAGAGTAAGAATCAAAAAGCTGGAATGAAGACTGCATACCACTAAGCTAATATGTAATGTATATGCTCATAGGAAAGATCTGAACATTAGCTTGTTAACATTTACAAAGAACTCTTCCAAGTAGATTTTATACTTCGACATGTTTATTTTAGTTGGATGAACAGATTCAGTGAACAAGCTGAAACAGTATTCCTCAGCCTCACGTTTTCCTCCCTGCTGACTTCTACCAAATGTTTAAAAATCAAAAATATGTGGATATTTGCATGAAGTAGTTCAATAGTTACTTCTTGTTCCATGCTTCTCTTTCAAATCTTTCACGGATTACTTCTTTTAGGTACGGTTCAAGATAACGCTTATCCTGAAAAAAGAAGAGAGTATATTTAAACTTATAGTGAGGTCCAGAAATATCTCAAGTCATTCCTACAGATTACTTGTCTCTCATTCCT